TTGGCCACCTTAGTCCTCACTGTATGAGGCTCTCAGAGTCCTTGGGTCTACTTTTCTCTATGTTTGTATTGTTTCTCTCTCTTTGTCTGCACCTGGCCACTGGGAGGGCCTTCTTGACGCAGGAAATGGCTACTTGTGGTCATACTTCCCTTGACATTTCATTCCGTGCCCAGCACAGAAGGACCTTAATGTTAGGTCTTTATTTACACTCCAGATAGGGATTTGACCGACCAACCTCAGTTGGGTCTAATGTTTCCACAGTCCAGTTAACAAGGCCATGGGTGATAGGATGTTGTCTCTGACAGGGATGAGTCAGGCAGGGCCCCCAGGATGCAGTCACTATCAGTGCCACCCATTGTTTTTGTAAACAACATGATCTCAGTTTGAGGCATCTTTATTTCCTGGGGCCTTCATCTCTTGCCCACTTGAGACAACTAATGATGGGCATGCAGTTTGCAAATTGAGAAGACCAGTGCTTTCCATCTCCCCGAGGTCAAAAATCACCTGGTAGAGTATAAAAATCTGCTCATGTTCCAGCCTCACCCTTCAGATATTGTTTTAGTTGTTCTGTGAATGGGAACCAGACAGCCGAAGTTGGTTTTGATGTACAGGCAGATTAAGACCCACTGACATGGATTAATTAGACAGCACCTTCTGGAAGGAGGGGCCATTTCCCTGGGTCCTGTCACTGTGTCTGAACAGTGTTGGAATTCTATAGGCTAAAGGTCAGAGGGAATGGTGCTGCTTGAACAGCCAACGCTACTGTCCACAGTTGTTGAGGCCCCAGGATGGTGTTTGTATCCTGGGCTTCCAGGTCACAGGTCAGCATTTTGTTTGCTCGGATGGGAGCAGCCTCATTCGGAGGTCTCATTCCCATCCTGAAGTCCCTGACTAGACGAGAGGTTTTATTCCTTCTCACAAATATACCTGTTTCCTCTTCCTTCTCCTTGAACAGGGTGTCCTGTGCCCAAACTGGACCTGATCTATGAGCTGGAGCTCAGGCAGGAGCTATGGGCTGTGAAGAAAAACCTCTCCCTAAGCACCATTCCAGGTGGGTGATCAAGAGCCGGGTAGATGGGGGTCTCTGCAGACCTCAAGGACACTATTGACCCTAGATCCCCTCAGGAAACTTCTTGTCATTACCTCTTGGGGACGTGAGAGCTACGAAGCCCTTTGACCTGTACTTCCTCTGTCCTCTCACCCCATCAGAGTCTTTAGTCTCTTGGAAAGGAGTGGCATGTTTGTGGTAAGATCAGGCTCTAGGCTCCCTGCACATCAGACCACCCCTCCCTCTGTTTTCTCCCTTGTCCCTTGGGACTAGGTCACAAGCTACATGGACTTTATCTTCCTTCATCGACTGCTTGTGCAGCCTTTTTCTATCACCCAGTCACCCATAGCTGGGTCTACACAAATTGAACTCTGTCCTGCCAGCCCCTGCGGGGTCATTGCCCCTGTGCGTTTGTTAATTCTTTATAACTGCTCACAGAGACTATAAGCTGTACTTACAGTTAACTCATTTATTATTATAATGGGCTCAGGCAAGGTCTGGGAGAAGTCTTAGCATGAGGCTTCCATTGTTTCCAGGGACGTACGTACCATTCTGTCTCCCCTGCATGGATGTTTTCAAAGATCTGGTAGGCCCCAAAGAGAGAGTTCCAAGATCCCAGGACCCCTAGTCATTGGGACCTCAATTAATATGCATGACTGGGGCCTTAATGCATAGTCATGATGGATCCAATCAATGAATATGCATAACTGCATCATGCCTCCTCTCCTTCTGGAAATTAGTTCACCAGGTGTGGGGCCTGTGTAACTCCTACTTGTCTGGCTATTTTAGAAAGACAAAGAGCACTTTAATTGCTCAGCCTATTTTCAGAAGCCAGATACAAAAGGCCAAATCTAGTTCTTTGTCCCACAGTGCACCATCTCATAATCCCAGTATGCTCATAGGAATGTGCCTGTTGCTCCACATTCTCATCAGTGTTAGGTAACGTCCTCCCTTTTACTCTCTGAGGCCCAGGTTGCTCTATACCACAGTTCAGAAACTATACTTGCTTGGGCCACTGCTGTCATCCTAAATACAACAATGACGATGATGGGCCCTGAACACTCACACACTGCCAAGTGCTGTGCAGGGCACTAGTAAACATGTTCTCATTTAACCCTCATGACAGCCTGTGAGGATGGAACTAAGAGTTTCTCAGTTTGTCAGATGAGAAAGTTAAGACTTAAGGAGCTAAGTAATTTGTCTAAGATCATCTGACTTGGTATGGGCGGATGTGAATCGAGGTGTTTTAGTTTCAGAGTCTACACTCTTAACCTTCTATACGACATGAGCTTATTACGCAGCCCAAATTTAGCAAACTTTATCATGCTTGACCTTTTTAGCATTTGGTCTTCTTGGTTTGTCTTTCCCTATTCTTCCTGGAGCCTTGTTCTCTTCTTACTCTGATTGCTGCATCAATGTTAGCTTTATCAGGCATCTTGCAGCCCGTTCTTTTACTCTAAATACACTCAAGGTTACTCCACACATGCTTATTCCTTCAACTTACATGATTCCACATCAGCTCCCAGTTGTATATTATTTCACTATCCCATAATAAAAAGTGATAACTAACATGTATTGCTTTCTTGGTGCCTGGCACCTTACCGAGCATGGCACAGGCACTGTTCAATGTCATCCTCATAATAGTCCTGTAAGGTAAGTTCTGCTTTTATCCCTATTTTTTAGAAGAGAAAATGGAGGCAGAGGGAATTTGAGTGGCTTACAACGTGCCACAAAACTAGTGTTGCGTTCTCTTGGGACTTGAGCCTAGGTTTTTTGTGGTTGGAGACCAGGATCTTAAGCGTAATACTCAAGTGCCCTCAAATTTTTTCTTTTGTGGACCTCAGGTGCACAGATTTAGATTAATCATAAACTTTGGTTAGTGACACACTCTCCTCATTGGTCTGTGAATGACCCTGATTTATTTTTTTGTTTACTTACACTTTTTTCTTAAAATACTACATTGAATGACATCATCCATCCAAAGAATGAGAACATTACATTTACACAATTTACATCTATCTGTGTGCTTCTTCTCTTCCCTATCCCTGTGTCTCCTCCAGAGAAATAACATTTGCCTGAATTATTGGCTTATTATCCCATTCTTTTTTTTTTTTTTTTTCTTCTTGGTAGGAAAGGTTTTACATATAAATTCAATTTCTTTAGTAGATACTGAGATCTTCAGATTTTCTGTTTCTTCTTGTGTCAAGTTCTCCATTTATACATTGTAGCTGTTAGGTGCCATCGAATTGGTTCTGACTTATCTTGACCTTATATATAACAGAACAAAACACTGCCTGGTCCTGTGCCATCCTCACAATCATTGCTATGCTTGAGCCCATTGTTGCAGCCACTGTGTCAATCCATCTTGTTGAGGGTATTCCTCTTTTTTGATGATCCTCTACTTTACCAAGCATGATGTCCTTCTCCAGGGGCTGGTCCCTCCTAATAACATGTCCAAAGTATGTGAGAAGTCTCACCATCCTTGCTTCTGAGGAGCATTCTGACTCTACTTTTTCCAAGACAGGTTTGTTCGTTCTTCTTGCAATCCATGGCATATTCGATATTCTTCACCAGCACCATAATTCAAAGACGTCAGTTCTTCTTTGGTCTTCTTTATTCATTGGCTAGCTTTCACATGCATGTGAGGCAATTGAAAATACCTTGGCGTCGTCAACCACACTTTAGTCTTCAAAGTGACATCTTTGCTTTTTAACACTTTAAAGAGGTCTCTTGCAGCAGATTTGCCCAGTGCAATGTGTCATTTAATTTGACTGCTGCTTCCATGGGTATTGATTGTGGATCCAAGTAAAATGAAATCCTTGGCAACTTCAGTCTTTTCTCCGTTTATCATGATGTTGCTTATGTGTTTGAGAAAAGGATTATAATTTTCTCCATCAGATTGTCTTTTTCGCTCATCTTTTCAGCTAGCTGTTCCTGAGGCGTACCAGACTCATTATGTCCACCCAGCTCCTATTCAGTTCTGCCTTATAAGCCCCATCCTGGGTGTGGCTATGGCCATCCCAACTGTCATGCAAGTCAGAACCTTGGGAATCAGCCTCACCTCTGCCCTGTCTCTGCTTTGTCAACCTCCTCTCCTGTATGATCATTCCCTCGGTTCTCTGAAGATGATGCCTTTGTACATTCTGCTTCTAAGGCTGCAGTGCCCTTCCCACTCTATCTGGCAATTCATCCGTCTCCATTAGGACACAGCTTGTGGAATACCTCTTCTCTGACAGCCCCAGATCTCTTCCTGTCTCCCATCTGGGCTGCCTTAGATTCCTCTTACCTGGCCTCTTGTAGCCCCTTGAGATGTCCTGGCTTAGTACATGCTCACCACATACAGTGTCGTCATTATTGTGTCTCCCTGCGCCTAGTCTTGACTGTAAGCAAGGGTCTCCACTCCAGACCTTCTGCCCCCTGCCCCAGACTCATCCTCTGGATTTCCCTGTAAAGATTTCAAGAATCCAAGAACCCAAAAAGAAAGAAATGGCAAACCTGGGTTTCATAAATATCAAAACACAGCAGGCACAAAGTACTGTTTCCATTTTCGTGTTCTCACTAAAGTGGTGGTTTTGTTTCGTCTATGTTAGCATCATGATGCTGATCACTGATCACTAATTTTGCATATTGTATTCTCTTCAGGTGATAGTGAAAAGCTTGAGACAACAGAGCTTATCAGTTGTCACCAGGCCATGTCTGAGGAAGTGTCACTCCAGGACCAAATGACACAGGGCGCCTCAAGGAACTCCAGGTTAGAACAAGCCATGGATCAGAAGGGGCCATCGAATATTCAGGAAGGGAACTTGAGGCCAAGGACAGACCTCCAGAAGGAAACGCTCCCCAGGGACATAAGCCCTGAACATGATGGTATGTGGACGTATGAAAGTGTCTGCTTAGGGGATGTACAGGAGCAAGTCTCTCCAGGAGACACTTTCCTTAAACATGATGCAAGTGGACCAGGTAAAGATCCTTCAGTTCACAAAGAGAAAAATCCTTATAAATGCAAGGAATGCGGGAAAGTGTTTAACAGGAACTGCCTCCTTACTCAACATGAGCGGATTCACTCTGGCGTGAAGCCCTATGAGTGCAGAGAGTGTGGGAAAACTTTTAGCAAAAGCACACACCTCCTTCAGCACCATGTTATTCACACCGGGGACAAGCCCTTCGAGTGTACAGAGTGTGGGAAGGCATTCAACCGCAGGTCACACCTTACTCGGCACCGGCGGATTCACACTGGGGAGAAGCCCTATGAGTGCAGTGAGTGTGGGAAGACCTTCACCCACCGCTCCACTTTTGTCTTGCATAAGAGGAGCCACACTGGAGAAAAACCGTTTGTGTGCAAAGAGTGTGGGAAAGCCTTTCGTGATAGGCCAGGCTTCATTCGACACTACATCATCCACACGGGTGAGAAGCCCTATGAGTGCATTGAGTGTGGGAAGGCCTTCAACCGCAGGTCATACCTGACATGGCATCAGCAGATTCACACTGGAGTGAAACCCTTTGAATGCAACGAATGTGGGAAAGCTTTCTGCGAGAGTGCAGACCTCATTCAACACTACATCATTCATACTGGGGAGAAGCCCTATAAGTGCATGGAGTGTGGGAAGGCCTTCAACCGCAGGTCACACCTCAAGCAGCACCAGCGGATTCACACTGGGGAGAAGCCCTATGCATGCAGTGAATGTGGAAAGGCCTTCACCCACTACTCCACTTTTGTCTTGCATAAAAGGGCCCACACTGGGGAAAAACCTTTTGAGTGCAAAGAGTGTGGGAAAGCCTTCAGTGATAGGGCAGACCTCATTCGTCACTACAGCATCCACACTGGGGAAAAGCCCTATGAGTGCATTGAGTGTGGGAAGGCCTTCAACCGCAGGTCACACCTTACGAGGCATCAGCGTATTCACACGGGGGAGAAACCCTATGAGTGCATTGAGTGCGGGAAAGCCTTTTGCCGGAGCACCAATCTCATTCGACATGCCATCATCCACACTGGGGAGAAGCCCTATGAGTGCAGTGAATGTGGGAAGGCCTTCAGTCGCAGCTCATCCCTCACTCAGCACCAAAGGATTCATACTGGGAGAAGTCCTATCAGTGTAACAGATGTGGACAGACCTTTCACAAGTGGGAAAACCTCAGTCAGCATCCAAGAACTATTGGAGAAGGACTTTTTGAATGTAACCACTGAGGAAAATCTTTGGCCAAAGGAACCATCTTACTCAGTATCTGATTGTTCATAACAAAGGGAAAGCCCACAAGAGTCATCCATATGAGGAGGCGTTCCGTGGCAGATCATCTAAAGAGAAATTTTAGAAATTAACCCACCTAGAGTCTGACTCTACATCTGAGAATTTATCTAATAGAGAGACACAGTGGTTATTGTGCACTTAGGAAAACCTTCAGCCACATCTCTCTCCTTAGTTTACAATGCAGAATTATCTCAGGAATATTTTTAAAGAGGAGGAGGTATGGAAGAACAAAGAAACAAATGGTAATAAATCCTTGTTTGGGAAGAAGGGAATGTGGTTTCAGAGGTAAAAGGATCTCATCTCTTATTTGTCTTGTGCTTTCCATTGTCAGGAGAGTTAGACCATTGAGGGCAGGGCTAGAAACGTTTACTGAACACCTCCTTTGTTCCACAACATCATGTTTACCCTTGAGCATACGTCTTTAAATGAAGGCTTGAGCTGTGAAATACTTTCATATTTAAGGATCTAAGGATATACATACGAATTGGTACATTTTACTGCACCACTTAAGTCCTTAAAGTCTTTGATTTAAAGAAAAAAGTTTCCTCATGTGTATTTAACCTCCCAACACTCATACTTTTTCTTGATCCCAATCTAATTGTTTTGTTTTTGTTTATTCTCCTTTATTCTCTCTGGAGTATGAATATGATAGCTGCGTGACCTTCCCAGCTGAGTCTTAATTCTTCTCAGTGGGGTTTCTCAGCTTTATTCTCCATAGACAGGCTTCTCCGTGTCCACTTCAATAGTTTGGAATTGAATTAGCACTAAAACCAAATAAAACACATAGCTAAATTAAAGGATCATGATAAACTCGGGAAAAGAAAAAAAACATGGAGAAAGCAGCTTATTTTTAATCTTATGAAAGATTGTTGAAGACTTGCTCTAAGTGGTGGGAATTTCCACAGGCAAACCAGCTTGTGTACATGCAGGTATGTGTGAGTTTCACAGTTATCGTGCACTCAGTCATTGATCGCGGTATTTTGGTATTTCTCCTCTGGTATTTTCTTTGAGCCTGGGTTTTGAGCTACATGTTATAGTATTATCTGACATTAAAAAAAAATGTTGTACAGATATAAAAATAATCTTGTACCCACTTTGAACCCTGTCAGAGCCTTTTTAAATGACTACATGTGTAGTCTTGCATTACGATTGTGATGCAAATCCATTTTGTGTTGGCTTTAACACTTGTCATTATTGTGAATGCAACTTTTAGGTCTTTTGGGTATCATGTCTGAGAACCCTTCACCATACCCTAGGCCCCAAAGTTTGCTTTCTTCTAAATGTTTTCTGTTTTACATTTAAATCTCTGATCGTTTTTGAATTAATTTTTGTATTATGGTATGAGGTTGAAGTTGAATTTGCTTCTTTCTCTGTTTTTCCTTCTTTTTTTTTGCCTATGGATATTCAGTTTTCTGGCACCATTTGTTGAAAAGACTGTCCTGCCTCCATTGAATTGCTTTTGCCCCTTTGTCAAAAATCAGTTGGGCATATTCATGTTGGTCTATTTCTTGGGTCTGTATACTCTTCCATTGAGACGTGTGTCTGAACCTCTGTCAGTACCAAGTGTCTTGATTATCTAGTAAATCTTAAGATGGGTAATGTGACTCTGCCCTCTTTATTCTTTTTTTAAGATTGATTTAACTTTCCTAGTTCCCTGGAGAAGGACATGATGCTTGGTAAAGTAAAGGGTCGGCAAAAGAGAGGAAGACCCCCAATGAGATGGATTGACATAGTGTGAGCAATAATGGCCTCAAACATAGCAATGATTGTGAGGATGGCACAGGAGTGGGCAGTGTTTCCTTCTGTTGTACATAGGGTTGCTATGAGTTGGAACCAACTCCAAAGCACCTAACAACAACAGTCCCTTTGGCTTTGTATAGACATTTTATGCTATGCTTATCTATATATACAAAACATTTTGTTGGGATTTTGATAGAAATTGCATTAAGCCTACCAGAGCCTTGGTGTCCAGAATTTTTACTGGGGCTCACTCATGTAGACATGGTTGACCTCTCGCATGGCTGACGTTAGTCTCCAGCCTCTCTAGAGGTTGAACCAATACTGCATGGTCCAAGTCTCCCACCATAAATCACATTGTTAGCATAGACTATCTGGCATGACCAAGGCTCCCAGGTAAACAGACACTCTTAATAGGCAGGGCATTCCAAGAGCCTATAGATTACCTCCCAGGAGCTGGAGGAAAAGCTCAAACCTTTGGGCAGGGGTAATCGTTTCCTGCGTAAGCCACCCCCTGGCCCCTTGGCCAAGGCTTGTTTAAAGCAAAGCAATCATGTTTATATGAGCATCCACATTTAGTACAGTATTTGTATAAGATACAGCAATAGTATCAGTATGAATATGCCTAATACTTGGAGAAGCCGAAGTGGGATAGAGTTAGATTTAAAGAAACTAACGTGTCCTGTACATTCATCCTAAAGCCATCACATTTCATACTTTTGTACTAATATGATTGTGTGCTTCCCCCAGTATTTGTAGCTTATGATAAACCTGTGTAGAACTGTGTAGCATAGAAATTAGCTGATGGTTAATTTCTTCTTCCTCAGGACAGTTATTTTCCTATGGTATTGCATCTTGAGAAGGCTTTAGCTCAGTCTCCCAATACGTTTGATCATCAGAATCAGTATCATCATGTGACTTATTTACATAAGGTAGCTGAATCATCTCAACAAGGCAAGTGTTGCACCATATCGTCATATGTAACTTGAAAAAGAGTTAAAAGATATTCACATATTACTAAATTCCAACTCTGTCATTAATAATTGGGCCAGTGATCAAATTGACAGGTTGTGCTAGGTGCTAACCAATAGTATTTTCTCTTTCTGGACAGTCAGGAGGACAGCAAGTCTCAGCTTCCCTTACACTTCATTTGGGACCATGCAAATGAGTTTTGCCAATGGAATATGGGCAGAAATAACTGTGAAAATGTTTCTTCTTTATACCTAATCATTTTTGTTCCTTTTGGGTTGTCTCCTTGGAGCTCAGTGGCTCCAATTTTCCCACCTCCCCAGCATTTAGTGCTCCCTTGAGGCTGCAGGATCAGATGATGGGTAGATAGTGGCTTGATAAGGTCTGGACCTAGTGATCCTATCTATCACTAGATAGATATCAAGCTGAGCTGAGCCATCTCCTAATCACGCATTTATACTGGGTCCGCCTGCCCTAAGGGCCAGAGGGGAAGGCATGAGGGTGTTGAGGCTCTGGTTCCTGTGAATTAGACATGAATTAGTGCTGTGTCATCCTATGAAGTAAAGCATAACATGAGACCCTGTTAACTCCACTGTCCATTTAGGCCTGAGGTCAGTCCTGATAGTCCCAAATTTTGAAGCATATGGCCTGTAAGATTGCACCTCTTGGGCAATAGAACTACCAGTGCTTTATTTATATGATATTTTTAAAAATACTAAAAGGTATAAAGGTGTGCTTTTATGTAAAAAAAAAAAAAAAAAAAAATTAACCATTACCTGTGGTGCTACTGAGTCAGGGAGTCATGGTATTTTGTTTTGAAAAATATCACCTGTGACTTCGCTAAAAGGAATCTTCTGTGACTTACCCCCTCCAATGTATGTGAGAAGCTTGAGGTGAAGATGATAACAACAACAACAATGGCTCTTACGTGTTTAGCAATATCTATATGACAGGTTCTGTGCTAAGCACTTTTCATCTCACCTCTCATCAACTAAGTTACTGTATTTTTCCGTTTTAGTTACAGGACCTTTTTTATTTTTTCACTACTGGACTTTGAAAGAGAGCTCAGGTGCTCAAACTTGAGCTAGGACCCTCCCCTTAGGGCTTCTGTGCAAGTAGGTCTAGGTTGGATCCAAGAACTTTCATTTTCAAGTTCACAGGAGATGCTGATGCTGCGAAACCAGGGACCAACATTTGGGAATCACTGAATAGAACTTACATTACTAAGAGTCTCTGGGTGGCACAAAGGTTAAGCGCCTACTAGCCAAAAGATTCGTCGTTCGAACCCCTTTAAGAGGACTTCGGCGCTTCAGGACATAGTTTCTCAGTCCTTTCACTCCCGCTCCTGGCGCAGTACCACTTCGCCGTTTTCCTGGAGAACGGCAAAGGTGCCCAACGTCTGATTGGATGCGGGACACAAACTACGTTACCCAGAAGTCTGCGCTTGGCGCTTTGAACCGATGACAGCCCAGTACATCGGCGTTTCTTGCTGGCAGGGGCGGTACTTCCGGCGTCACCGTCGTGGATGTCATTTGCCTGCGCCTGTCGGTACGCGCGGTGGGGTCCCGGGCCGAGGCGGCTTGTCGAAAACGAGCAAGGAAAGACACTGAAAAGGGTAGGACCTTCCTCCGTACCTTTCTTACGAGCCGCGTCCCTCATCTGTGAGACAAGCACCCTCACGCGGGGTGTCGGGGCGGCGACCTTGCCGGGCCTCCGCACCGGTCCTCGGTTTTTGCGGACCCCAGAGAGGGGCCCCCTGAGTCTGCCACCGTTTTACACGGGGAAGACTTAGGTCACCTAGCCTAGCTGAGATGTTAGGGTTCGCCTGAGCCGAAGAAGTCCGCCCTGTTCGCCCACTTCTCACGACTGTTCTGTCCACAGGATCCGATGGCGGCGACGACGCTAACGAACCGGGTTCAGGTGAGTGGAGGGTCTCTCATGCCCTCACCTACCCGGATATAGGGGATCTTGTAACCTGGGACGCTTCGCTTTCACTTCTTCCTTCTCTTGAATATAAAGACCGTGGAGGGCGGTCGCTCTCTTGGGGATTGTGTGGAGAGTTTCCGATTCCCAGCAGTCAGCCTGATGAGGTGTGGAAGGGTTGTCAAAGCAGAGGAACCAGCTTGTACAAATACTTTGAGACAAGAATGAGTTAGGAGTGTTTCCGGAGCCTCAGGTCCTAATTCTGTCTCTTGGGAACATAGAGCAGGGGAGAGGAGTCAGGCAGAAATGTTGGCCTGAGGAGCTGGGCCTCTTTTCTGAGGGTGGTGGGAGTCACGGAAGGTTTAAAACAGAGAAGGAAGGTGTTCTGATTCCAATCTTAACAGATTCTCTCTGACTGCAGAGTAGAGACAAGATTGGGGTGGGGGAATGTTGTCAGAGAGACCAGGATAGAGTCTACGGCAATAATCTAGGTGAATATTGATGGTGGATGGACTAGAGTTGTGGCCATGGAGGTTAGAGAAGTGGATAGATTTTGTGTATGTTTTTAAGTAGGGTCGACCAGGTTTTCTGATGAGAAACAACGCTGTCCTGGGACTCTTCGCCTATCCCTCTCTATGCACTTGAGTCTGGGGTCCCTGGCTCCTGAATCCAGGTCAGAGGTTTAAATGGAGAGGTTCATATTTCTGGAAACCAATGGGATGAAGACCAGAGGGTGTATTAGACCCAGGAACAGGCATGTGCAAATGCTTGGAGGTGAGAATTAGTTGGGAACGCTCAAGGAAACGCAGGTCTTAGTTATGTTTCTTGGGAACAGAGAGCAGGGGACCCGAATCAGGCAAGAATGGCAGCCTGAGGAGTTAGGCCTCTGTTCTGAGGGTTGTGAAAGCAAGGGAAGATTTGGCGCAGAGGCAGTTGATCTGACTCAGGTCTTAGGTCCAAAGGGGTGGCTTTGGAAGTGGAAAAAGTGGTTAACTTTAGGATCTGATTTTTAAGTAACGTGGCTAGATTTTCTGATGTGAAGGGTGAGCAAGAGAAACGGAGAAGTCAGGGAAAGCCCCCAGGTTTTTCGGTTTTAGCTGGTAGAATGATGGATATGCCATCAACTGAAAAGAGGAAGTTGGTGGTTGGAGTTATTTTCAGTGGTTGTGTCAGGGGTTAGGTTTTGGCCATATTGAGTTTAAAAAGTTCCAGAGACCCCTCAGTTGAGGCAACAGGCTGGACATACAGGTTTTGAGTTCTGAGAAGGGGTTTAGGTTGAAGAAGTCCAAAGGGTGGTGGCCCATATGTGGAGTAGGATGGAACCATGAGTTAAATTCAGGAGGAATATCAGGTCAGCAATCTCTGGGTAGTGAAAATGGTTAAATGCTTGGTTACTAACCAAAAGGTTACTAGTTCAAATCAACCCAGAGGAGCCTCAGAAGAAAGGCCTCATGATCTGCTTCTGAAAGATCATGTTGTTATTGTTAAGTGCCATCGAGTCATTTCCGACTCATAGCAACCATATGTACAACAGAATGAAACGCTGTACAGTCCTGTGCCATCCTCACAATTGTTGCTATGTTTGAGCCCACTGTTGCAGCCACTGTGTCAGTCTACCTCGTTGAATTGTCTTCCTTTTTTTCGCTGACCCTCTACCAAGCATGATGTCCTTCTCCAGGGACTAGTCCCTCCTGATAACATGTTCAAAGTACATGAGACGAAGTCTGGCCATCCTTGCTTCTAAGGTGCATTCTGGCTGTACTTCTTCTAAGACAGATTTGTTCATTCTTCTGGCAGTCCATGGTATATTCATAACCATTGAAAACTCTTTGGAGTACAGTTTTACTCTGACACATGTGGGGTCACCATGAGTTGGAATCAACTCAACAGTAACTGGTTTATCTTTAGGTTATGGTGGCAATGCTGTTAGTGAACAAGAAAGGTGAAAGTGTGGACTGGGTGTCTTTCTTGGGCACCTGGCTTGGGGTGGTAAGAAGTAAAGATGAGCACTCCCTGGGTGCTATGTGTAGAGTGGCATAGGGGATGCTGTGCAGATGCATATAGTATGGGCCAGGGGTTGTTGTTGGGGGTCCCAGATGTGAGAAAGTTGTGTTCCAAAGGTTGATGTGTGTGTTGAGTGTGAACTGATGGCCTTAAGACCGTAGTAGTGGAGGCTTAAGGAGCCCTGGTGGCACAATGATTAAGCACTCAGCTGCTAACCAGAAGTTGGTGGTTCAAACCCACCAGCTACTTTGTGGGAGAAAAGACCTGACGATCTGCTCCTGTGAAGAGTACAGCCTAGGAAATCCTACAAGGAAGTTCTTCTCTGTCATATAGGATCACTATGAGTCAGAATCGACTAGATGGCACACAGCAACACTGAAGGCTTATAGGAGAAGGCTGAGCCCACGTTTGATTGTATCTGGAAGGCATGATCTGGATGACATCAGGAGAACTGCTTAGCAGGAGAGTGTTTGGGACTCTGCATTCCAGAGCTTAGATTGCATCAATCTGCACACCTATCTGATCTTGTTGTGGCTGGACCCAGTGATCAATAGGACACGAGAAAACAGACAGTAGTAATGCCAAGGCCTGGTACCTGCTCTGAGTTGGGAGCTGGGGAGGAGAGTGAGCAGGAGGTGGATGTGTGAGTGGATGGATTGGGAGTTTTGGGAGAGATGCTGCCTGTGGGCTCAATTGTCCCCATCATCACAGGACTCTGTGACCTTCGAGGATGTGTTCGTGTACTTCTCCAGGGAGGAGTGGGGACTCCTTGATGAAGCTCAGAGACTCCTGTACCGCAATGTGATGCTGGAGAACTTTGCCTTGGTGGCCTCACTGGGTAAGTCCCTGTTTTAGTTATCTATTGCTATGTGGCAGATTACTCCGAAATTTAATGGTTAAAAACAATAAAAAATTATTCTCTCTTTTTTCAGTGGGTCAGGAATCTGGTCACAGCTTACCTGGATGCTTTTGGCTTAGGGTTTCTGATGAGGTTGCAGTCAAGCTTATGTACAGATCTGCAGTCTTATGTGAAGGCCCGTCTGGGGAAGAAGCTCACTCATGTGGTTGCTTGCAAGATTTAGTTTCTTGTGGCCTTTTGGACTATGAGCATAAGTCCCTTGCTGGCTGTTGGCCAGAGGCTTCCCTCAGTTTCTTGTCGTGTCGGCCTTCCCATAGTGTACCTTAGAACATGGAAGCTGGCTTCTCTCTGAGCAAGTGAGCAAGAGAGAGCGTCCAGGATAGAAGCCAATCTTTTTGTAGCCTAATCTCAAAAGTGATATTCCATCATATTTGCCATATTCTGTTCCTAGAAATGAGTTAATCAGTCCACTCTACAATTAAGGAAAGAGGTTTACACAAGGGCAAGAATACCAGGAGGTGGCAGTCATTGGGGCATCTCAGAGGGTACCTTCCACAGGCCCTCACATCTACTCCAGCATCTTGGGTGGTTTTTTTTTCTCCTTTTCCCCAGGGGCAGCTCTGTCTGTTCCACAGCCAGAACAGAGACACTTCTCCCTGCCTTCTTAGGCTCCTGGAGTAGGTGCTATGGGTGCCAGGACTGGGCTGTGTGTGATATCCCCTGTCTTGCTGAGCAGTCCCAACACCTGCTGCCCCCAGAGCCTTATAGGAAGGAGTTAGGGGCTCAGGAGTTTTGCAGTCGACTCAGCAGATCCTACATTGCGGATGCTACGTAGCAGAACTGTGGTGCCCCAGTTTCTGTTCCCCTTCTCTAGCTGGCATGCCCTGGGGCCCAACTTTGCCAGCAATTGCAGAGACTGACATGGTCACTGCTGGTGGAAGCCTCAGGGCTGTTCTGCCAGATCCTCCTTAGAGGTTTTCTTTTCTTTTTTTTATTAAATAATTTATTTTATTTTTTTGTTGTTGAGAATATTCACAGCAATATATACACCAATTCAACTGTTTCTACGTGTCCAACTCAGTGACATTGTTTACACTCTTTAAGTTGAACAACTGTTCTCACCCTCCTTTTCCGAGTTGTTCCTCCTCCATTGACAGAAGTCACTGCCCCCTAAGGTTCCTGTGGAGGTTTGTTTGTTTTTTTGACATTTATTTTTCTTCTCTGTGGGGTCAGTCACCCTGGGCCAGTGCTTGCCACTCATCTGTCCTCTTTCCTTTAGGACTTCCATCTTCCAGGTCTCATGTAGTTGCTGGTTTGGAAAGGGTTAGAAAGCCCCAGTTGCCTGACAGGGTGGACAGGACTCCAGCCACACCAAGATCAGCCCAGAGAGGGTCTGGCCCTGCTGTGGGGATGGTGGGTGTCATGTCCCGAGGCTGGGTTCACATCGCACTTTCAACCTGTTCTGCGTGCACCAATGTTTTGTTGCCCAGGCCAATAGTGATAAACCTCATTTCTACCTTCTCCTCCTCTATTTTTTTAATTGTTGTAAAAATATATATACACAACATTTGGTAGTTCAGCATTTTTTTAGTGACACCAATTACATTAATCATGTCATGCAACCGTCACCAGTATCCATTGCCAGATTTTCCATCACCATAAATAGCTACTTAGTGTTTCCTAAAGAGTGACTCCCCCTTTCCCTCTCCCTTCTGCCCCTGGTTGTTGTTGTTAGGTGCCTTCGAGTCGATTTTAGACTCACAGTGACCCCATATGACAGAGAACTGCCACATAGGGTTTTCTAGGCTGTAATCTTTACAGGAACAGATTGCCAGGTCTTTCTCCCAGTGAACTACTTGATGGGTTCAAACCACCAACCTTTCAGTTAGCAACCAAGCACTTAACTGTTGTGCCACCAGGGCTTCTCCACCTCTGGTAATCACTAATAAACTTTGTTTTCTGTGTGCAGTTGTCTATTCTAGGTATTTCATATAAGTAGGATCATACAATATTTGTCCTATCACGATTGACTTACCTCATTCAGCATAATGTTTTCAAGGTTCATCCGTGTTGTGGCATGCATCAGGACTTCATTTCTCTTTATGGCTTAGTAGTATTGTATTTGGATCCCTCGTGGCGCAGTGGTTAAGAGTTTGGCTGCTAACCAACCAAAAGGTTGGCAGTTCGAATCCACCAGCCATTGTATGTCTCTGCCACATTTTGTTTATCCTTTCATCTGTTGATGAGCATTTGGGTTGTTTTCGTCTTTTGGCTATTGTGAAAAGTACTTTCTGTTCTTTTGGCTATGTCCCTAGGATTGGGATTGCTGAGTCATATGGTAGTTCTCTAAAAGCAGCCCTGGTGGCACAATGCTTAAGTGCTCAGCTATTGACTGGAAGGTCGGCAGCTTGAACCCACCTACCAGCTCCATGGAGAAAAGACCTGGTGATCTGCTTCTGTAAAGATTAAAGCCTAGTAGACCCTATTGGGCAGTTCTACTCTGTCACATGGGATCACTGTGAGTCAAAAATCAACTCAATGGCACTAACAACAACAACATGGTAGTTCTGTATTTCCTTCTCCTTCTTGGCACTTGTAAAAACGTAGGACTAATAGTAGTAGTAGGAGTAGTAATAGTATTTTCGTCTAAACCTGTCTAACTTCAGGGAGTGTAATGCAAATCAAGGTCAGCCCCAGGCTGATCCCTGTGAGGTGAAGGTCAGACATACCTCCACTCTTCAAGCTTTTTACCAATTTTGACACCACCCATCCTCCTCGCAGCACTCTACTTCTCTGCTGAGTTCGATAATCTATTTTAGTGGTCACACACAACTCACAGATCATACTTAGAGTTAAGTGATTTGTTAAGGAAGCAACAAGGAACAACTTGAAATGAGGATCAACAGGCCACAATTCAGCATCAGAATCAGGAAGCATATAGGCAATATCTCCCTTCTTCAGTCCTGGACAGCTGTTTCAACTCCTGTGGGCCATGCAGGGCTCCTCTTGGCCTCCTCAGGACAGGCTCCTCTTGGCCCCCGTCGTCTGTCACCACGGACTCTTCCACAGGGCCCCTTCCAGGCCTGTCATCACTGACTCTGCCACTGGGCCCCTTCTTGGCCTCTCACGGTCTTTAGTGTTGCAGCCGTTGGCCCATGTTGCAGCTCTTTTAGGAGGCTCCTTACCTTCTCTCTCTCTCTCTGCTTCTTCTGTCTTCTTTCTTCCTTCTGCTTCTTCCTGCTACTTCTTTTCCTGCTTCTTTCTGTCTGACAAACCTCTGTGGGGTTGGTTGCTTATATACACAACTTCTTACCAATTTCAAGGCATGGCCCCTCCCAGTGGAACCAAAAACTGACCAGTCCCCTCTTGGTAGGCTACAGACACTTCATTTGCATAGTCTATCGACCAATCCCTGCAAAGTGCATACCAATCACAGCTCAGGCTGATGCCCAGGACTAGACAAAAAACATCAAACCAAGTTGTTTACAGCTTACCCAAGAAATGTAACAAATCCTTTGGGGTAGAAAACTAGGACAAAGGTAACTCCTCAGGGCTTAAGGGAAAAACCTGTCCAGCTGTTTTTCCAAAGAACCAAGGCAAAAGACTACGTAAAGGAACTCATTTCACCACACATCATTTCTCCTCTGTCTTCCATCTCTTGGCTGTTTCCCCACTTCTCTAACCTCCATGTCTCACCTGTTGTCTTCTGCATATTCTCCAACATTGTCTATGTTTAGTGTGTCATGAGGTATGCGCGTAACCTTATTTGTCCTTGAACACCAGCTATTTCCTTGCAGTCAGATTTTCCTGGACCTGGATACACACTTCTGCACAGGGCCCACCTGATACCTGCAGCCAAGGTCCTGCTGAAACCTGTCTGCAGAGGATTTGGAGACCTCACTTCTCCTCCCTGTACTGTATACCACCTTTATATATTTACCCAATGTTAGGGTTCCCCTATTCTGTGACCTCTAGAGGCCCAGCACTGACAGTGGGCTCATAATCACTCTGATCCTGGCTCCCTGGTCCCACCAACAATCTCGTGGACACATTCCTAGTTATGTCACCTACATGTTTATGATGGGGCTGCCACTCTCCACCAGTGTCAGCCTGCACTTCACCAGCATGTCTCTACTTTCAGGTTGTTGGCATGAAGCAGAGGAGGAGACACCTGAGCAGAACGTTTCTGTGGAAGGAGTGTCACAGGTCAGGACCACCCAGAAAGCCCACCCTTGTGAGAGATGTGACCCAATCTTGGAAGACATTGTACAGCTGACTCAGCACCAAGGATCACACCCCACGCAGAAACCGTACACGTGTGGGCCAAGTGGGAGAGACTTCTTGTCTGGTGCAAACTCTGACCAGCAACAGGAGCAACACAGGGGAGAGAATCCCTTCAGAAAGAATGATGGTCAAGCTTCACTTGTGAAGAGCTGTGCAGGCAACATGTCACGGTGGCCTTTCAAGTACAGGGAGGAAGGAATGGATGTCCTGGACAGCCCTGGCCTCTTCCAGCAACAGACCACTCACACTGGGGTGAGTCCATCCAAAAGGACTGAGTGCGTGGAGTCCTTCCCACTCAGCTCCACTCTAGGGCAGCACCAGGGTGCCCACACTGGACAGATGGTGTTCAGGTATAACAACTATGGGGAAGCCTTCCTGAAGACCTTCGCTCTCCTCAACAACTGGATCGCTCAGACTGAAGAGAGACCCTTCAGATGCTTCACATGTGGAAATGCCTTCAAGGAGAAATCAGCTTTTATTAAACACAGAAAAACTCACAGTAGAGAAACAGCTCATGTGTGTAAGGAATGTGGAAAGGCCTTTACTCACCTGTTCCACCTCAGAACACACCAGAAATTTCATACTGGAAAAAGGCATTACACATGCAGTGAATGTGGGAAGGCCTTCAGCCGCAAAGACACCCTTGTTCAGCACCAGAGAGTTCACACTGGAGAAAGGTCTTATGACTGCAGTGAATGTGGAAAAGCCTACAGCAGAAGCTCCCACCTTGTTCAGCACCAGAGAATTCACACTGGAGAAAGGCCTTATAAGTGTGGCGAATGTGGGAAGGCCTTCAGCCGCAAAGACACACTTGTTCAGCACCAGAGATTTCATACTGGAGAAAGGCCTTATGAGTGTAGTGAATGTGGGAAATTCTTTAGCCAAAGTTCTCACCTTATTGAGCACTGGAGAATTCATACTGGGGCAAGGCCTTATGAGTGCATTGAATGTGGGAAATTCTTTAGCCATAACTCCAGTCTCATTAAACATCGGAGAGTCCACACAGGAGCAAGGTCTTATGTATGCAACAAATGCGGGAAAGCCTTCAGCAGCAAAGACACACTTGTTCAGCACCAGATAATTCACACTGGAGTAAGGCCTTATGAGTGCAGTGAATGTGGGAAAGCCTTCAGCCGCAAAGACACACTTGTTCAGCACCAGAAAATCCACACTGGAGAAAGGCCTTATGAGTGTGGTGAATGTGGAAAATTCTTCAGCCATAGCTCCAACCTTATCGTCCACCAGAGAATTCACACTGGAGCAAAGCCTTATGAGTGCAGCGAGTGTGGGAAGTGCTTTAGCCACAACTCCAGCCTCAATTTACACCAGAGAGTCCACACAGGAGCAAGGCCTTACATGTGCAGTGAATGTGGGAAAACCTACATCAGTAGCTCCCACCTTGTCCAACACATGAAAGTCCACACTGGAGCAAGGCCTTATGAGTGCAGTGAATGTGGGAAATTCTTTAGCCGCAACTCCAGCCTCATTTTACACCGGAGAGTTCACACTGGAGAAAAGCCTTATGTGTGCAGTGAATGTGGGAAGGCCTATAGCAGAAGCTCCCATCTTGTTCGGCACAAGAAAGTGCACTCTAGGGAAAGGTCTCATGAGTGCAATAATTTTGGTGACCCTTTAGCTGCATCTCTTTAACTTGCCAACACCAGAATATTCACAGAGAAAGGTTTTATGAGTGCATAAATATGCTGTCTCCTTGTTGAACCTAGTAGGGCTCACACCAGTGAGTACCCTTTGTGAGAGAGCCATCACCCAGCAGGTGTGCTTTGTCTGTTCAAATGCCCACGCTAGGGAGATTCCCATTGAGTGCCACGTGCATTGGAAGCTGCTACACATTGCATTGCAGTTTCTAAAATGTTCTGGGTTCTTGTCCTGGGTTATGTCACTGCCAGTGACTGTGGTGGAAGCTATCTCATTGCTACCGGCCATCAGGGTCCCAGTGTGTGTTTGTCACTCCAATATGTTCAGGGAAGACAGACCTTTGTATTGTCTCTCCTTTTCCCTGGAGAGAATCACGAGTGTTTTGAGCCCGCTTGGGGGTCCTCATTTCCTCCCTTATGACTATTTTCTGAGCAGACATGACCTAGCTCCGGCCAAAAGGTTTTGAGCTGGAATCTACTAGAGGCTTCCAAAGAAGGTGCCCCTTCTTCATTGATGGCATTGGCTGTACATGTGATATCTCTGATGGATTTGTCCTGCTTCCAAGTCACCCAGCCTTGTAACTGCCTGCCTCATACTGCTCTGGTTCTTACAACGATAAAGACCTTATTATGTAAGCCTTTACTGTTCGGAGTCCTGTTTACTGTGTGGAGTGGATTGAGAAAATAATTGGGTCTGCCAGCAGGAAGGTGGGAACACCTTTGGTGGGGGCCTGCAACTTTATGTGCCTAGAGGGGTCAAGAGGATGGCAGAGAAAAGGTCCCAGTCGAGTTTGCCCAAGACCTTCCAGGTAGAACTGAACACTCGGTGAACCTAATCCTGTGGCCTGGTTATGAGGATTTCCTATAAGCCCAGAGAGCATCCTGAGGAGGAGAATGTTGGTGGCACCACTCTCCAGTGCTGCTGAGAGCAGCGTGAGTTGGTTCCCTCATTCCCAGGGATTGTCCCACATTGCCCTGCACTATGGAGGAATCGTTATCTCCCAGACCTGTACGGCAGCCAGTCCACTGACCAGAGTCCTGTAGGCAGGTGTCATTGACTGTACGAGCTATGGGTCAGGTGGGAATCAACTGGTGCAGAGACACTGAGTACAGAAATACTGAGATAGTGGGGAAGACTGGCAAATGAGAGGGAGTGTGTCCATTATAAAGTTAACATTCGCAGATGTCCATGTGATTATTGCTGTGTGGGATGCGGGTGTACGGAAATTTTCAAGACCTGCCAACCTCTATCTTCTGTGACGTGGCTGACAATCTGAAGGGTTCTGGAGGCCTGGAGCCTCCCTAGAGTGTTGAACTTTATGGCCACTGCTACATAGGCAGAAAGTCCAGGCCTGAGAGAAAACAGGTCCTTCAGGGGTGGGACTTCTCTGACCCAGCCACCATTCCCGGCAACTGAAGTGGACACAGTCTTCATTGTGCTCCAGTTTCTGCTGCCATTGACTCCAGGCTTACCCTCCATGTGGTGGGAAGAGGGGTATGGTAGAATCAAAATAGTTGACAGATCTGATTTTCCAAGAGACATGGTGGTTGTTGGGTGCTATTGAGTCCATTTCAACTCATAGTGACCCCATGTGACAGAGCAGAACTTCCCTATAGGGTTTTCTAGGCTGTAATGTTTATGGAAGCAGATCCCCAGGTCTCTCTCACCTAGAGCAGCTAGGTGGGTTTGAACCGCCAACCTTTTCAGTCAGCAGCTGAGCGCTTAACCAGAGGCATGGTAGATAAAGACATTTTATGCAGAATGTTTTGTTTGTAACAGCTTTATTGAGTTACGATTGACATGCAATAAACTGCACATATTTAAAGTGTAAAATTTGATGTTTTAGCATGTGTATACACCTTGAAAACCATTACCACAATCACAATAATGAACACATCGAACACACTCAAAAGATTCGCCATGTCCCTTCATAATCCCTTCCTCTCAATTCTGTCTAATCTCCTTCCTTGTAGTTCACAAGCAAATCATTGATTTGCTTTATGTCCTGATCCTTTTTATAAAATTTTATTTAAATGGAATCATACAGTATATACTCTTTTTATCCTGGTGGTGATGGAGCGGGGGGCCCTAGCTTTCTTCACTAAGCATAACTATTTTGAAATTCATACATGTTGCACGTATCAGTAGTTCCTTTTTATTGCTGAATAGTGTTGTATTCCATTGTATAGACATACTACTATTTTTTTTTTTTAATCCATTCAGCTGTTAATGGACATTTGGGTTGTTTCCAGTTTTTGGCTATCATGAATAAAGCTGCTGTGAAGAATTGTGTACAAGCCTTTAGATGGATGTGCATTTTATTTCTCTTGGGTAAATACCTAGGAATGGAATGGCGGGTCATAGGGTTGATGAATGCAAAACTTCTAAAAGGAAACTGCCACAAACTGTGTTGCAAAGTGATTGTACCCTTTTATATTCACAGCAGCAGGGTATGACTATTCCAGTTGCTTCACAACCTCGCTAAGACTTGATATTCAGTCTTTTTAATTATAGTAATTTCATTTTATATTCTAGATTAAAAAAAAAAATAGTTGCTGTTGAATCCACTCTAACTCATGGTGACCCCATGAGTGTCAGAATAGAACTGTGTTCTATTTTCAGTGGCTGAGTTTTTGAAAGTAGTTTTTGGAAGGTTCCTCTGAGGCACCTGTGGGTGGGCTCAAGCCCCAACTTTTCGGTCAGCAGCCAAGCACATAAAGTTTGCACCACTGAAGGTCTACTGTATATAGCATAAAACCAAACCCATTGCTGTGGAGTTGATTCTGACTCACAGTGACCCCATATGTTACACAGTAGAACTGTTCCATAGGGCTTTCTTGGCTGTAATCTTTATGGAAGCAGATCTCTAGACCGTCCTTCCAGGTGCTGCTGGGTGGTTTTGAACTGCCAACCTTTAGGCTAGTAGTTGAGCACAAATCATTTGTGCCAACCAGACACCTTCTACATAGCATGTTGTTGTTGTTATGTACCGTTAAGTCTGTTTCAACTCATAGCAACCCCATGTGACAGAGTAGAACTGCCCCATAGATTTTTCTAGGCTGTAAGCTTTACGGGAGCAGATTGTCAGGTCTTTTTCCCATGGCGCTGCTGGGTGAGTTCAAACCGCCAGCCTTTCAGTTGTCAGCTGAGTGCTTAACAGTTTGCACCACCAGGGCCTCTCGAATATAGCATACCCATTGCTGACGAGTTAATTGCAACTTATAGTGACCCTATAGGATAGAGTAGAACTACCCCGTAGTGTTTCCAAGGCTGTAATCTTTACAGAAGCCGACTGCCACATCTTTCTCCTGTGGAGCAGCTGGTGGGTTCAAACCACCAACCTTTTGGTTAGCAGCTGAGTGCTTAACCAATGTGCCACCAGGGCCCCTCGTATATAACATAGTACTCCTCTAATAAATAATGGAAAATCTGACATTTTATATGTTATTTTCTCAAAAGAATTAGGATAACGTACTGATGTGAGTTTTGCAATCTTGGTTTAAAAATACCATCACTTTAGATGGTTCCTGTTAATCGTAAGAGGTACACGTACCCCATCCACAGGAATCACAGAAGAATGGAACATTCTTGAACATGCATCATAATCACCTGGAAGTCTTGTGAAAACACACATTCTTTGGCCTGAACTCCAGAGTGTCTGACTCAGTAGGTCTGGGGTTGGGAGTGAAAAATGCACTCCTAACAAGTCTCCAGATGGCACCTGCAGTGTCACTATTCACAAGTTCTTAGTAAAAGGACCATTTGGAGCAGAGCACAGACCAGACACTGCTCATGGCATGATCAACAGGCATTTATTACAGAATAAACAGGACAGGGATGAGTAGAACAACACACATCATCAGCCTGGGTTCCCCAAAGCTAGGCTCCCATCCATGAGATAATCTTAGATTGCACCCAAGCACGTCCCAGTTTATGTTTTGGGAGGAAAACCCCTAAATCCCTTTCTCACAGGACTGAATACTAATCAGACACCAATGTCTACGTGCCAAATAGCATGTATAGGGAGCAGGTAGGGGAAAGGACAAAGAAAGAGGACAATAAAAGAAGAAGGTCCCCTGTAGGCAGTGGACATCATTTACTGCCCCAGTTCAGAGTGGGCTAGATTTACTGGTGCCAGAGAACAGCTCTTCCTCAAGAGGACAATCATCTCCCGCTCAAGCACGTACTTTATGTCCATTAGCAGATAGGGAGATGGTGACTGAGCAATTATAGCACACCTCTGCACCCAGCAGCACTGCTGCAGATTGTGCTGGGATCCAACTCCAATAACCAGTGTAATGGGAAAGGCGGTGCTTCATGCTTCCAGGCCCCAGCCCTCGGAACTGGAGATTTGCAGACACTGAGGGATGGAGCCAGAGTTCCCACCAACTTCTGTGGAAGTGAGCAAAGCAGATGGACGGCTGACTGGGCTGGCGTTCCAGGTTCGCAATTGCAGAGAGATACCTCGAGGAAGTCCTGAGCTGGTGTCCATCACTGAAGCCATCTCCTGACCTCTGCCAGGTTCTCACAGGGAGGCCAGAGAAGAGGGGGGCCTTTTGCAGGACCTCCAGAGGCCTCCAGAGTGTCTGGAGCCCTTTTAGGAGAAACTCTCCAGAGTCCTCACTGCTGGCCCAGAGGCTGAGTCCGAGCTTCCTGGTGGAGAAACTGAAGCCACCCAGGTCACGGAGGCAATTTATTCTCCCCATGGAGGTCCCTAGGTGGCACAAACGGTTTGCACTTGACTACTAACCTGAAGTTTGGTGGTTTGAACCCACCCAGTGGCTCCACAGAAGAAAGACTGGCGCTCTGCTCCTGGAAGGATTTACAGCCTATGAAACCCTATGGGTAGTTAACTGTGTAACACATGGGATTGCCATAAGTTGCAATCAACTCCACGGCACCCAACAACGTACCTGAATCAGCTCAAGGAATATTGCTGTATTATGGCCCTGAAGGAGCTCTTGAAGTCCCAGATAGAGAAGGAAATCTGTCCAGGAAAATTGAAATCCAGACAGTAAGGACAGTAAAAGGACTCTTTCTAAATGTCCTATTTACCTCTTTATTCTAATAGTTATTGCTCAGTGTTTTTAAGAATGAAAAATAAACATATTTTGGAGGCAAAACCCTCATTGTGACCAAGGTCCCAGCACATCCACCTGCTCAGTTTCATTCTCTGACTTTTCAGACTTCAGTGCCTCGTGCTCAAACTTCATTGAGATCTTAACTTTTGTCACATGTCAGATATGTTTTCCCTGAGCTATTTCCACTACTAACTTTTTTTTTTTCTGTAATATGCTATTGTAGTTTCAGTGAAAGTTTACACAGCAAATTAGGTTCCTATATGACAATTTCTATACCAATTGTTCAGTGACATTAGTTACATTTTTCACAATGGGACAACATTCTCTTTAGTCGCATCTGGTTGTTCTTTTTCTAGTGCTCTAGTTTCCCTGTCCCCCCTTATCTTCTCATATTTGCTTTAGAGAAATTGTTGACCTTTTGGTCTCATATAGATGGTTTTTTAATGGAGCACCGTACTCAAGGGTAATATCCTTTATTTTGTGTGCCAATCTATTATTTTGCTGAAAGGTGATCTCAGGGAGTAGTTTCGGTTTAAGGTTTAAAGACTATCTCAGGGCAATAGTCTCAGGGAGTCCTCTAGTCTCAACCAGTTCAGTGAGTCTGGACTTTTTAAGAATTTGAGGTTGTTTTTTGTGTTTTTCTTCCATTCCATCAGGGTCCATCTATTGTGGCCCTGATAAGAATGGTCAGTAGTGATAGCCAGGCACCATCTAGTTCTTCTGGTCCACTACTAACTTTTAATAATGACATAATCATTCTTAGTAGCTCTCAGCTACAAAAATTTCCACATTTCACTAATGTTTTCTGAGATCATCTCAGCTCCCTATGGAGACATTGCCACTGCAGCCACATGTCAAACGGTAAACACTTCTCAGTAAGAAGATGACATCATGGAGTCCCAGACCCTTATCTCAGGGATAAGATGTCTTCTTTCCACATACTCTCTGACTGGGACCCCGACAGCCACTCTCCTTGTAGAAAATGACATTTGGTAAGTGTTGTGGATTGAATTGTATCCCCTCAAAATATGTATTGTAAATCCTAACCCCTTGTCTTAGTTATCTAGTGCTGCTATAACAGAAATACCACAAGTGGATGGCTTTAACAAAGAGATATTTATTCTCTCACAGTCTAGGAGGCTAGAGGTCCAAATTCAGGGTGTCAGCTCCAGGAGAAGGCTTTCTCTCTCTGTTGACTCTGGAGGAAGGTCCTTGTCAACAATCTTTTCCTGGGCTAGGAGCTTCTCCAAGCAGGAACCCCAGGTCCTAAGGACGTGTTCTGCTCCTGGCACTGCTTTCTTGGTGGTATGAGATTCCCATATCTCTCTGCATGCTTCTTTGTTTTATATCTCAAAATAGATTGGCTCAAGACACAATCCAGTCTTGTAGACTGAGTCTTGCCTCATTAACATAACTGCCACTAATCCCATCTCATCAACATCATAGAGATAGGATTTATAACACATAGGAAAATCGCATCAGATGACAAAATGGTGGACAATCGCACAGTATTGGGAATCGTGGCCTAACCAAATTGATACACATTTTTGGGGGACACAATTCAATCCATGACACCCCTAAACCCCTATGATGGGGGGATACTGCATGGTTTAAAGTCAGGAAAGGTGTGCGTCCAGCGTTGTATGCTTTCACCATACTTGTTCAATCTGTATGCTGAGCAAACGATCCGAGAAGCTGGACTATATGAAGAAGGCTAGGGCATCAGGATTGGAGGAAGACTCATTAACAACTTGCGTTATGCAGATGACACAACCTGGCTTGCTGAAAGTGAAGAGGACTTGAAGCACTTACTGATGAAGATCAA